CCGTCATTCTTGTTCTCTGTGTGGATCACCATTGGAGGCTGGACAATTGGACAGTTTGGATTGCAGATCGTGATCATTGGAGTTCGAGAATCAGCAAAAGAGTTTGCAGAATTCATCAAATGTATTATTCTCAACACAGTTTCTATCTAAACACAAAGTAGATCCGTGGTGGAGATTGAAAAATAATTAATTTTCCGCTGTGCATGTTAAGTAAATTCTCAACACTTTATGTAAGGCATAGTTTGATTTTTTTGGGGTGACAGTGAAAATGTTGACAGATAAGTGGCTAAATTTTCCCAACATGTTACATAGGGCAAATATTGTATAATTGTTCGGTTTTCTATTTTGGTCATTAGTTCTTATATTTTGTCAATTTTTAATTATTGATATTGAATTACATTGATCTCTTCTATCAATATCGTGAACCTGAAAATTCTCGAATATTTCCAAACATAAGTTAGTAGGTAGAAGTTGAAAACTTTTAAACATATTGAGCGTTTGTTCCAAAATGGAGTTTTCTGTTGAACTCTGATAATTATCGTTTTAACATTAATCATACGCAAACATGTTATGCTGATACAAAAATAGTTATTTTTTGTGACTGTCGTTAGGTTTACTTACATCTTATAGTGACACCCCAAATAGTAGGTATAATAGTTGTTGACCCCAAAAAATGGACCAATGACGTAGCCAACCGAAAATTAGAAATTCACGTCTTTGTAAGTGTAATCGCAATATACTCAAATCAAATTACTAATTAATTGATGCATTAATGAAGAGAATGATTCGAAATGTCTGACCAGTTGTAATGTGGTTATTTGGTTGATAAAAAGGGGGTCGGCGTAAGGAGTAAAATAGAGAGAATCAAGGTTCACTTTTGCTGTGTAAACTTGCATTATCCTTTGATGGTGTTAAGTGTGTCTTTTTATACCAAGTGTAATGGGGAATCCAGCCTGTTAGATGGTCAGGCACGTGGGTATACTAGATCCAAGGGTTCTTATTGACGTCAATCGATCAGTCAACCAAGCAGGCTAGTATACCCACCTGCAGGCTAAGGATCCGGTAGTGTAGGTATGTAGAGGCGACGTCTGCAGTGTATTGTCTTGTCAATCACTTCACAATGTTTGCTGTGGTTGACTTACCGCCTCTTGAGGATGGGTTCGTAGCGGGAACCTCTTCCAAAGGGGATAGGACAAAGCCATTTTTCTATTTTTACTCTTATTTTTATAAACTTTAGTTTTGTAGAAGATATTCAATAAAGATGCCACGTGAGATAAAAGTACAAAGAAATTTTAGTTACACTGAAAATATTCTAACTATAGTTTGCTCTCAATGATTCGCAAGTATTTTAGAGGACAATTTTTTCCACAAAATAAGAAAATGAAATCGACCTGCATGATGGATTTTATGTCGGCACATTAAGATGCATAGAGGTTGCATGAGCCGTGAGTGAGTTTAGTATTACATTCAAAATAAATAAAGTCTCTTGTTTAAGTAAGAGTTTTCATGAAAACATTAGAATGGAAATGGGATATACATGTCAATCTTGGTGGCATTTTCTACTTAGTCATGAAAACTAGGTATCATTCTCATCTTTAATAGAATTTAATAGTGTTCTAAAAGATGCGTCGAGGCACCGCTTAGGCAAGATGCATGGCGGAAATGCCAAGCCACCTTATTTAGCGGTCAACAATTGCTATTGATTGCTGTTGACATCTAATGCATGCCTAGGTGCAATTATGTGCGCCTAGGGGCGCATTATTATGGTTTTTTAAAATTATTTTTACAGTTATTTTAAGTTAAAACTTAAATGTTAATTTACATTTGAAACTTATCTTTTTGTTGGAAGCTTTTGAAAATATATATAAAATTTCTGTTATACAAACTTCAAACACAAAGTTTACAGATCATATGAAAAACTCAAAACCCTATTACATTCAGACTTCCTATACATGAAATCGGAACATTAATCACTCAGCATCAAAGCTTCACAGATGATAAGGCTCAGAACATCAATCCAATAAACCCCTCTACACCGTCAGGCCCAGATCTACACAGAAACCCAAACGCAGTCAACCAAGTAACCCTAAGCTACTTCAATGAGACCCAAGAAGGAATCAGACTAACCACAAAAAAGCCTTACAAAACACTGTAATCTCACAAAGAAATGACTCAAGAAAAATGAATCCCTCAAACCAGATTCACACAGAAAAGAATGAAGGAAGAGAGGTCACACAGACGCCTCTAGAACATGAGAGAGAAAACCAGAGAAGTCGAAAGAATTAGAAACGATTGGAAAACCCTTAAATATCAAGGCCTCGAGATGTGGTTAGTTATCATCCAACGGCTCAGAGCAGCTGTAGAATTCAA